CACTGAGGAAGGCTCTGTGAAGCCGAAACGTTTGAATTCTTACTCTAATGTGTATTATACAATTTTATTTTATATATTAAATTAGATCTAAATATTGATTGTATAATTGCGTTTTATAATTACTAATTTCAACATAATCTTGCTCGTATCGGTCGGTTACTTAATGGTTAGTTATTATTATTAGTTATTATTATTATTAGTTATTTTACATTAGTTATTATTATTTTATATTATATAATAAATTTATTATTAAGTTCTTAATTTATCCTGATTTGATTCTTATCCATTTTTGGGTGCTTTTTAATTATAAAATTTTATTATTGAAAGACTTTTTTAACGAACTTACATCTACCGGCTCAATCATAGGCATAAAGTGGCGTAAAGTCAAAATAGCATAAAGTAACTAGGCAGAAATAGATATTCATGTGAAACAATATGATTGGTCGGCGCAAGTTACGCCTACGCAAGTTACGCCGCATGTACTGGCACCCTTAGTACGGCCATTTCCGCGTACTCTGGTGCACAATCAGACATTCGGCGGGTATTTTCGCGGTACGGCACGGAATCTTTAATACAAAATCCGAGTGTTAGCGCGTGCTAGTCATGACCGACGGGTTGGCGATATTCCTATCGCCACCGAGTGACGTGAGTGGGCTAGCGACATATGAAGATATGTAGCACGCAGAACGAGAGACACAGGTCGTGAGACTAAAAATTAATTTAACGGTTTTTTTAACTAACAAGTAGGACAGGCAGGACACAGGAAGTTGGATGAACTTTCAACTTTCGTGTCCTGCGTCCCGCGTATTGCAGCCTGTCTATTATAATCTAAAATATTCTAATTTGATATGCTTGCTATATAGATTGGACTTAATGCGCGTTTACTCTGCGGATGTGTACAGCGAGCAAGGTAAATAGTACTTCGTGGCCGTTCGCGCACACTCTCTGTGCGTATCCAGATGATCGCGCAATCGCAACCATGGAAATAGCAAGAGGAGCTTTGCGCAAAAGTGGAAAAGAAAGGTATTAGAATGTTTTGTTTTACGCATCATAGCGGAATTAGATATTCAATAGCATATCTCGGAATAAGGTAAAAATTAATAAAAAGATTGAACGAATTTACTAGAATATCCATTGTTTAATTGGTCAGTAATGAATTTGCCTCACTTCTGTAATTTTCACTTAATTTTGAAATACACAAACTCTACTCCAAAATATTGCATTTCGGTATGACGTATCTACCAATTAAAAATCATTCCTAAATTCTAGCGCGACATTTATTTTTTAAGAGAGACATCTGTTCGCGTTGCTCGAAATTCCTACAAATATATTTTTGCATCTAAAATGAGATAAATCCATTTTTGGGCGTTTAAAAGAGAAAAAGTGAAGAATGTAAAGAATGCAAATGAATAGAGATTTAGACAAAATTAAGAAAACTAAAGGACTCTTTTTTTATACAAAATAAAAATGGCATTGTAAGAGTCAAATAAATATGTCTTTTAATGTTATATTATAAGTTAGTTTTTAAGTATTGTCAAAATAATTATAATTTAGAATATATGATTTAATTAGTCGTTTAGAATATCACTCTTATTTATTTGACTCTTACAATGCCATTTTTATGTTTATCATTTTGAATAGATTTAGATTTTTTATTCATATTAATTATATTTAGGAGCAAAGTACCGTAAATGTTTGCATTCAACAATTTTGCTTTCTCTCTCTCCCTCTCTCTCTCTCTCTTCTGAATGTATATTTATCTTATTTTAAGTGTAAACAATATAATAATTAATAGTCCGAAAAGAAAGAGATAAAAAAATGCAAAATGTGCGAGCAACGCGAATCTCTTAGTAGGGGAGGCCGAGAGGCTAAATGTGGATTTACTCGAGCGTCGTGGGAACCTATTGGATTGTGAAGATTAGATGCTAAAAAGAAAAAAAGGTTATATGATGTATGCCGTTTCAGTGGGGGGAGGGGGGGGGAGCGTGTACATGCTTTCAAAAAAAACTAAATCCCAAAATCCCCGCTTGGCCTCCCCTACTATCTTATTTAATTCCACTATGAATACGATATCATTTCATCTTTATCGTTCAACGAAAATTCTAACAGGATAAAATGATACATCGTACGCATCGTGTGTGAAATGAACCGCTCGAAATGGGGATAATCCGGTTACTCACATTCGATTCGTGCGAATTGGAAGGCGTATCAGCCATACTTGATTTGACGTAATCGAATGTGATTGGCCGTCAGCTTTCCACTATTTCGGGTTATCGCCAGGCGCCAGTTACCGCGCATTTACGGGACAGCTTGCTGTATTTTATAATTATCCCTACTAGAGGTCGCATGGAAACTGCCTAGACGCGGACTGTGAGAAGAGAGGAACAGTCGAGCGGACCTCAGTAAATGTGGAAAGGGTTGAACGGATCGAGTTCGAGTCAGTTCGAGTAGCTGTGTTTGCGTTGTTTGCTGTAATCATCGATCTATTTGACGATATCGAAGTAAAGGTACGAAGTGAACGTTAATTATCGATTGGTGTCCATACGTATGTACGAAACAAAATAATTGACAAGACTTTGGTGATCATTTGGCTTAGCGATGGACGGCGCGAACGTGAATGGCGGGAACGCCGAAGTACCGCGCGAGGATCCTAACCTCGAAGGCGGTAGCGACGGTGGTGCTGGTGTTAATAGTGCGACGGAGACGCCAGACCAACCGAACTCCAGCAACAAGGCGCATCCTACGGCTGGTGGTACCGGAGACACGCAGGAAGTCAACGGCGAAGTAAGAGCCACGTCCAAGAATCATGGCATGTTGTTGCCCCGTATTAGAGCACTGAGAAGGCTCAAGGCTAACTCTACGGACGCTGTACCGAGCAATGCACCGAAACCGCCTGGGACAAGGGGACGCAAGCGCAAGCTTATAGAGTTAGAAGACGTCAGCTCCGAAGATTCCGAAGGATTCAACGGCTTTGACTCTCAAGGACTTGAATTGCAGCCTGCTGGTAGTCACGTTCTAAAGAAGCTTATTGGTATGATTTGTCATGATGATTCATACTTTTGGTTCATAGTAAATATATAAGAAAAATCTTTTTTATCTGATTCTTGTAGATATTACATGTATATTTTTTAATCCTATATAGTGTAAGGTCATATTCTGACTCATATAGATTTAAAATCATTAACAAATTGGATAAATAATTTTAAATTAAATAAAATAATACATAGAATGAGCTACGAGCCAAGTGGAATGTTTATTACTAAATATTAAATAATTGATAAAATATTACGGCTAAATAAATTGAAGCGCAACTGTTTTCTCTCTAATCGAATTATTCTGATTGTGAACACAATTATGTTTAAAACAAATCAGTATACAATATGTTCTATAAATGTTTGATTTGATGGTTAAGTTTATCAAATTAAATATATGATAAAAATTTAAAATCGCTTTTACCAATCTTTACAATCTCGCTTGCAATTCTTGTTGATACTTAATAACTGCATGGCCATAATGTTACAATGGAATTGATCAATATATGAAGTTAAAAAATAAATATTAAATTATTTTTAAAAAATGAAGTTTGTAAGCAATGATAAAAAGCATCATCGCTTAAAATTATCATAGCTAGTTAATATTCAAGAGCCAAAAAATGTCAAAAGATTTGAGGAATGTTAAAATCGTATGATGTCAATTAATAAAATCTTTAAGCAATCATAAAAAGTATGTAAATCCTGAGGAAAGACTTATGTTAACAGAATTTGTCTTATTAAAACTTAATATAATGCAGTATAAAAATATCAGATCAACCGAAAGAAATCATTAATTAAAAATGAAATAATATAAGATGAATAGATACTGGGGATATACTGGATATTTTCCAAATATCCGGTATCATTCGATACACTTTTTACTATTGATAGATAGCCGGATAATATTTCAAAATTAAAAAAGAAAATACGATATATTAATATATCTAGTTGAAATTTTATATTGAAAGTTTGCACATCATTGACGTAAAATCTATTCAGCTCAATTTCTTATACAGTTTATGATTTTGTACAATTATGGTGGTTTACGTGGATAATCGAAATAAATTGTTATCAGAAAATTTTGAAATATTGTTCATCATGAAAAATTTAGATTATCAAACAATATTGAAAATCTGCAAACAACTCTGTTTTATAATCAGTTAACTATTATAGCTATTTTTTTTTTGCTTTCTTTTTTTTTAACGTAAAATAAATTTTGATAACAAAACTTCCTGTATAAATCAAATATAAACTCGGAGAGAAAGGGCACTAGGAGTCAGGCGCAGATAACTTTACGCAATTGCTAATATATAATAAATATTCTTTATTATAAAAGCTTACATGTTTCATTTTTTTGCCTTCTTCAGAGACAATGCAAACATAAATAAAATAAAATTAAAAAAAGGATCAAAAGATACTTTATCATAGTGAGCTTCACCATCTGATGTTAATTGCATCTAACAATACATATTACATAAAGGGAAATAAAAAGATAAACAAAGAAAATAGCGAAAAGAAAAGAATAATAGTAGTATTTATTTACACTTCAGCTTTACAAAAATAGCCAAAAAGGGGACTTGGTTTACAATATTTCTTAAACATTCATAACCCACACAATCTTACAAAAAACTTTCCATTATTCTAGCCTTAGCCTATAACTAGTTGCAATTATATTCTATTTAATCTCATCTTATCCTGTTAGCTCTGTGAAGCTGGCACCCCTAAATGCGAATTTTGATAAAATCTTTATTGCATTCGTTTGCCCACTGTTTGTCCACGTTTGTCCACCCGTTATTTTCGTTTGTCCACCGTCCAAAAAAAAGTTATAAACAAAAAAAAATTGTAGCACCCCCAAGTGATTATTTTTCATAATTATGTACGAAAATCGTTTGTCCACAACGCGTACGTGATTGTCCACCCATTATTTTCGTTTGTCCACTCTCCAAAAAAAAGTTATAAACAAATTAAAGTTACAGTATTCATCTTCGGACAAGTAAGTGCGTATATTTTATATTTATGCACAGGAATCGTTTGTCCACAACGCGCACGTGATTGTCCATCCATTATTTTCGTTTGTCCACCCTCCAAAAAAAAGTTATAAACAAATTAAAGTTACCGTATTCGTCTTCGGACAAGTAAGTCCGGGTGGACAAACGATTCCTGTGCATAAAGGTAAAATATACGCACTTACTTGTCCGAAGATGAATACTGTAACTTTAATTTGTTTATAACTTTTTTTTGGCGGGTGGACAAATGAAAATAACGGGTGGACGAACGCGCAGGCGTAGTGGACAAACGATTCCTCATAATTATAAAGTATACGCACTTATTTGTCCGAAGACGAATACTGTAACTTTAATTTTTTTATAACTTTTTTTTGGAGGGTGGACAAACGAAAATAATGGATGGATAATCACGTACGCGTTGTGGACAAATGATTCACGTACATAATTATGAAAAATAATCACTTGCGGGTGCTACAATTTTTTTTTGTTTGTAACTTTTTTTTGGAGGGTGGACAAACGAAAATAACGGATGAACAAACGTGGACAAACAGTGGACAAACGAATGCAATAAAGATTTTATCAAAATTCGCATTTAGAGGTGCCAGCTTCACAGAGCTTATCCTGTTCTACTTGTACAATTATCATAGCTTCGTAATTACTAGATTTAACCACAGCCCATTTAACACAAATCATCTCTATCCTTTACCTGTCCTTCGCCTTCCTTTAGTCCACACCTCTTTTCTTATTTGCCTTTTTTTCCTTTTCTTTTTCTTTCCACAACTTCCGTAAAATTTTTTCTTTCTTTTCACACCTAAATTCTCATCCCTAAGTATTTTAATAATCTCGTCCAAATTCTTACCTAGCTCTTGAAACCACCAAGAGGGTTCTTACCTTCACACAAAACTTCACATAATGTTCCAAATCATCTTTGCCATCACCGCAAAACACATACATCATCTCTCTATCCTCCTTTTCCCTTTTCCAAAACTTATTTACTTCTTCTAAATTTTCACATCTAAGTCTCTTTCTTTCTATTAACTCTTTTTCTATCATACTCTTCTCCCCCTTCTACTTCATTTGCTACAATTCCCCATCCATTCCTATTATAAAAGCTTTCCCTTTCTCTGCCATACATATCTTCCCAATTTTGATATCTTTTTTCCTCCCAACAAGCCAAAGCTATTAAGAAAAGAATAATATAATTTTAGTATATTATTCTTTTCTGTTCACTATTTTCTTTATCTTTTTATTTCTCTTTATGTAATATGTATTGTTAGATGAAATTAACATCAGATGTGATTTCCTATTGTGCTTCCTTGGCTGTGATGGAGCTCACTATGATAAAGTATCTCTTGATCCTTTTTTAATTTTATTTATGTTCGGATTGTCTCTGAAGAAGGCTCAAAAATGAGTCGAAACATGTAAGTTTATCTTGTATAATAAAGAATATTTGTTATACACTAGCAATTGCGTAAAGTTATCTGCGCCTGACTCCTAGTGCCCTTTCTCTCAGAGCTTATATTCCTTTTTTTTTTTTAAATTTTGGGGAATTTGTAAATATTTTATGAAAAAAACAAAAAAAAAAGTATGAAAAATATCTGATATCCTGTAATTTTATGATGTAGTGCCTCTCCAATAAATATTTAAATAAGAAAGTTTGTAAGACATTTGGTTTCTGAGATGTCGACAAGTAGTCTAAGCAGGTTGTCTACGTAAATGCACCCATTGAAATCAACTAAAATATAACTATCCCCATAATTGACAACTTTTTTGTGAAAACTAGACGGATACCCTGGTTTAACATTTCTTTCGCTTGGATCAAATCTGGACGACTAAGCAAAAGGTTCCGAACATTTCCATAATAGGCGCCCTACTCGCAAACAATCACCTGCAGTGCTGTGTCGACAGAATTTTCTTTCTTTCACGTTTGGTCGCTTTAAGAATGTAACAAAGCGATCCTGTCGGATTATTTTCTATTAAAAATATTCAATGATATCAATGCCTCTCCAACAGATACTTAAATAAGAAAGTTTGTAAAGATATTTGGTTTTTAAGAAGCAGCTGCTGAACAAGCAGTCCAGGTGAATTGTCTACTTGAATGCACCTATTGAATCAATTAAAATGTTTACCATCACTATAGTTAACAACTTCTTTGTGAAAATCCCAGATAAATATCGTGGTCTTAACATTTTTTCAGCTCGGGGGGATCAAAGGGGATAGATTTTGAACATTTCTATAATAGGTCCTACTCTCTCATAAACAATCTACAGTGCTGTGTCGACAGAATGACCTATCTCTTTGATCGTTTTAAGAATATAACAAAGCAATATTAGATTATTTTCTTGAAAAATGTTTCTAAAAATTGTAAGCTTCTAAGCGCATTTCATAATAGTGTGAGTATAATTTTCAGCACTGTCTAGGTCACATAAAGATCACTTTAAAATTTTTTAACAAAAACTATTGTTTTGTATTACCTTATAACTGACATTAAAAGCTTTTTAAAACACTATTATAAAATTATTTTTTATCAAGAACTTTTTAAGTTATAAAACTTAAAAATCTTACAGTATCACCTACATTAGTATTCTCCAAATTGTCAGACTGACAACTAAAACCTTTTGAATATTGTTTATAGTCATAATCTCGGCAGTCTTTATTTTTAGTGTAAATATGACAATAAGAGAAACCTCCAATGGCCTTGATATATATTGTTAAGATTTCATGACTATGAACATTTATAAGGTTTTAGCTATCAGTTAAACACCTTGTAGAATGCTAATACCAGTGATACTTTTATCTTGTCTTATAACTTGAAAAGTTTTTAATCAAAAATAACTTTATATTATAACGTTTTAAAAAGTTCTTGACGTCAGCTCAAAAATGTGTGAAAAAATGATAATTATCATTAAAAATTTTAAGGTAATCTTTACGTGATCTAGAAAACGGTCTTGAAGATTATACTTATACTATCATGAAAAGCACTTAGAACTCTACAACTTTTGACAAAACCATTTTTCAAGAAAATGCAAATTTTTCGAGAAATTACCTAGTACGGTCTATTATAGTTATATCCTATATATGAATATATATATACATATATATACAGGGTGTTTTCAAATTCGCACCCGCGAAGTACAAGACGTCATACTTTACACAAAAAAAAAACAACAATTTTTTCCTTTTGCAAAATTGCGTCTGACAAGTAGTTTTTGCAGGAGAGGTTGAAGTTAATGAATAAGCGCTTTGATCTATGTATGTGGCGCTCAGGACCGACGGCCGGCGGGTGCGCGCTCCTCGTTCGCTTGTCAACCTAATTCTAATATGCTTGGTGAACGTTCTATTTTTTTTAAATATTGCACAATTGCGTATGGTAGTTAAATGTGTAATATCACTGAACTTAAATAATAGTTTACTAATTAAGGGATTACGTTTGCTTATATAATAATTATTTAAAAATTATGCTCTTGATAATTTTCAAATAATTATTTAAAAAATGTAAATATTTTTTTTTGTTCATCAAAAAATTATTATCTATTTAGAATTCTTTTAAGTTCTCTTGACTCTGTACATATTTGTTTTATTATAAAAATATGTGATAAATTTAAAGATGTCGATACAATTATTACTCAGATTTTAGTTAATTATGTAAGTATTGTAACATTTTAATAATTAATAATTTTGAACAAGTCTTTTTATGTATAATCTAATTCTGTCTTTATTTGTCATTGCAAGTAATGAAGAGAAAATTAACTCTTAAAATATCATAACTCAAATATTTTACTTTATTTTTAATCACTATCTCAAAATAAATTAATTTTTTGGTACTTAAAGTTACACGTACCCAGTGAAAAATGACAATGGAATGGACATCGAATCGACGTCAATTCGATACCGATTTCATTATTATTTCTCACTAGTAGTAGTTCCTTAATTAGTAAACTATTATTTAAGTTCAGTGATATATTACGTATTTAATCATCATACGCAATTGTACATACAATATTTAAAAGAAAAGAATGTTCACCAAGCATATTAAGATTAAGTTGAACGACGAGGAGCGCGCGCCGGCCGCCGGTCCTGAGCGCCACATAGATCAAAGCACTTATTCATTAATTTTAACCTGCTCTCCTGCAAAAACTACTTGTCAGACGCAATTTTGCAAAATAATAGTACACTGTGTAACAAGTGGGGGATAGTTGTTTATAGCGCGGGACGGGCGCGAGCGCACAAGCGAAGCGAGACAAAAGAAATAATTTTTTTTAACATAAAGTATGACGTTTTGTACTTCGCGAGCGCGAATTTGAAAACACTCTGTATATATATATATAGACATGTTTTTTATATATACAGGGTGCTTAGGCGTTGTTTATAACAAGTGTTGTTTATAACAAGCGGCAATAGTCGTCGTTAGACATGAGTCGCGTGCCTAGCGACGGCGAACTTTGCGCGCGCTTGCATTTGACGGTGGGCCGGGCGAATTTAAATATTTTTATAAATTAATATCTCGTTAACTATTACTGCAATCGCAAAATAATACAGGACTTTTTGACTCAGTATAGTCTGTTCTACCCACGAAATATCAGGCGGTTAATTTCAGCCACCCTGCATATGTATATATAGGTGCATTCCGAATACGCATGAAACGCATCATTTGTCTCTGATTTTCTCACCGAATAAGACATTAATCTATATATTATTAATTAACAAAAGCAGAAGAAATTAGTTGTTATATATTATTCAAGACTATAGTAAGAAATTGAACTTAGAAAAGATTATTTTATGTTTTATATAATTATTATTATGTTTTACATAATAATTATTATGTTTATTAAGAAAATTTTTATTTTAGATTTGAGCGAGGCTTTTTCGTCCATTTCTTACGATAACATTTCTTGATAATGTTTATACTTTTAAACAGCACGTACTGATTATTTAAAAGTGCTTGTGCTTTCAAGGAACAAGCATGATAATTATAAGCACTTGTTACTGCAAAGAGATATATTATCGTAAATTTTCGTATATTATTTTAAACTTGAAACTGACGGAATAGCCCCGCTTTACCTTATATATATTTATTTAGGAACTATTAATATATAGATACGGGGTTACAATAGTATTCTTAGACGGTCGTGGAATCTTAAAAGAATAAGAAGTTTGTTAGAGAGAATTATTTTCCTCATAATCGACCGTAACTGATCAATTTTCTATGGTTTAAAACCTCATGACAGTCTACATTTATTATTGTAATCTGTCTCTGCCTTAACCCTTCTAATATCTTGGGTATTTTGTGTCCGACCGATTTCTATTCGGATAAATTTTTCGCACATTGGACGGACCTGTTATTGTTAATCTTCTAAAGAATGTTTGCGGGAAATCTACACTGAGAAAAAAATGCTGTTCAATTAAAATTTATCACGGGTTGTCACTAATATAAATAATTAATTCATGTATATTTTTATTTATACAAAGACCTTGATTATTAAAACAATAATCAAAGCCTTTGTATCAATAAAATATTACTTATATTACATATATTACTCATACCTAAACTAAAAAAATCTTAAAGTTATTTTTTATGTATGTACATTATAAACAGTTACAATTTTTTCAAATCAAATGCCATTTTTATCCGACTTATAACTTTTTTTGATAACTGTTTTGGCAATTGAATTATATTACATTTTATTATTTTTAAAATAAAATTTAAACATTTGTTCTACAAACGTGAAAGTATAGTTCATAAATATTTAGAGATTTTTAAAAATTATTTTAATTAAATAAAAAAAATAACGGATTTGAAATACCCCCTAGGATATTAGGAATGAAGCACCAAATTAAGCACATTACAAGGTTTAATATATTTTGTTATAGCTGAAGCAGAAATAGCGGAGGCACAAGTTGTAAAACGCACAAGATATTCAAGAAGGATTTTGAATGCAAGAGAAAAAATGGAAAACAATCAAGATTTTAATGATACGAAAACCTACATTTACGAAACAGATAGTTTCGAGCCTTTAGATATAACAAAGATTAAAAAAGATAAGGAATCTGATAAATCGGAAACAGATTCTATCGATGTACCAAATAGCATAGATTCTGAAGCGGAGCCAAGCAAAATCGATATAACTTCCACTAGATCGGCAAATTCTTCGTCAGCTGCAAGTAGTCCCTCTGCAACATCACAAAAATCAAAAGGTAGTCTTATTTCTGGTGGTGGCAGTCCAGGAGGAAGGCATAAAACTCCTGTTGATATGTCGAATCCTTTATATAAAGAGCCATTTAAACATGGTTGGAAGCGAGAATTAGTGTTTAGAGCTAGTCATGATTCTTCCGCCAAAAAAATGGCTGATATATATTATTATACACCAACGGGGAAAAAAGTTCGAAGTTTTAGAGAAGTTGCAGAATCTCGTAAGCATGCAAAATATATATATATAAAATCAAGTTGTTTAGATAGCAAGCTGATGTCATTTTGACGTAAAAATGACGACAAATTGTGTTTGTTACATGGATAGATATATTAAAATTTTGATTTTTGTTATAGTTAATTCAAAGGATTTGACCATTGACAACTTCACATTCTTTAAAGAACCTATTGGACTCGGCGATTCTGATAAGGAAGTTATTCGAGATGCTAAAAGAACACGAGTATGTGTTTTCAATTTTTATATTTTTAAATTGTATTATTACAAAATATTATGTAAATAATTATTAACAAGTATTAATTGAATTAAAAATACTAGTAAAATTAATATAAACCGATACAGGATGTAAAAATATTTTATCATGTGTGTGTGTGTGTGTGTGTGTGTGTAAAAATATTTTACTTTTTTAAAGATTCCGTAGGAAGAATTTTGTATGTATATTTTAATTTTTGAACTAAGTATTTATTGTATAACAATTTTCTTAAATTAAGATTTGTTATTTCTTGATTTCCAGTTAGTTATCTCGCTAATCTAAGTATCTTGCCAGATACTAAGCATTTGAAAATTATATCGTTGGACTTCTTTATGTCTAATTATAACTTTAATACACATTTTATGTTACTGTTTTTGTTTAATATTTCGATTTCATAATACGTCAGTATGTACTGAGGATGATAAAACTGAGGTAACAAATATCTACGAAATTTTTTTTTAATAAAATATTTTTAAAAAAATTTTTTTAAAATATATAATACAGAATAGTTCAAATAATACAAATTAAATAAAAGTATATTGAAAGAAGGGTTATGAGTCAAAGAAAATAGATTTAATGTTCGTAAATAAAAGTTAAAATGATAATATAAGCATAGTTAAATACATTTGTTTCGATTCTGATAAGAGATGAAATCACATATCTTGCAATTAACATACCTCTAGATGATGGATTTTTAATTACATTATGCTTCATCTTAAATTCTAAATTTTTTCTTTCAACAATAATTTTTACAAATAGATTTTTGGTACTCCTATAGGGTCATCCTTATCCCTCATTATAACTAAAATAGTGTACAAAATCTAGAGGCTTCGGTAATTGACAGATTAACTTTTATTCTATTTTCGATATGTTGATGACATTATTTTAGCAACGGATACTACGAATAATATCCTAAATGTTTTTAATTCACTATATACAAGACTAATTTACCATGGAAATTAGCTTAATGGTAGATTAAATTTTCTAAACAACCGTCATTGTTGATCAAAATAGTATCATTTTTGATAGGGACCATAAATTAACTTTCTCAGGTAGATTTCTTAATCTCATTATTCTTATTATCTGATTTGTTACAAAAAGGGCGTTATTATGGGTGCTGAATTTTATTATTATCACATCCTCGGTTTCAACAAAAAAATCTAATCGATACTACCCTAATTGTCGCTATTTTTTGTATAACATAACAGTAAACATAATGGTAAACAGTGACATGTGGTTGCTTCATCGCAATTTGTTTCAGTCTCTTTTTATATTTTGACTAATTTTATATTCTGACTGTAATTACAATACAGTTATGACAACCAGAGGTACTTATTTATATTTATATAAATTACACTTCACCAATTTGCTTTAATTACATTTCTGTGTATATTAACAGATTTACAATGTCTACTTTTGCGAACTGTATGAAAGATCTTTAAACTATTATAATAGAGCTATCAGCGACATGTTGCAGAAAAAAAGAATTTTTAGTGTTAATATCCAGGAGTCATTTATTATTTAAGCTATAATCTTTATTATTTTATTATTTTTACACTTAACTGTCTAAATTATTATATATTTAACATTAATAATAATCCGATCGGAGTCGAAACGTCTGTATTCAACTATGTTTACATTGTTATTTTAACTTTAGTTTACGAACGTTAAATCTACTCTCTTTGGCTTGTAGCCTTTCTCAACGTACTTCAAAATATTTTTACATGTATACCTAATCCTGTGTCGACTTATATTGGCTTTATTTAATTAGTATTTTTAATTAATTTATTTGAGCTCATGTGTGTTTTTATTTTTTATTTTTTTATTTAAATATTAATTTAATTATTTATTTAAGTTTTATGCTTTAAATGAAGATTTGATATTTATTGAAAATTGCAGGGATCTGTGGGTGGATCTGCAAAGAAATATAAAAGAACTGTACAAACGAAAAAAACAATACAGGAACCTGTAGCAAAAAAATCAGTACAAGAATATGTAACGAAGAAATCGTTACAAGAACCTAGTACATCAAAAAAACCTCCAGCACAAGAACCCCCTGCTCCTGCACCTACACCTGCACCTACAGAAATTTCAAAACTTGTTTCTGCACCTGTGTCAGTACCTACAAAAACAGCTAAATCAGCAAAAGTGTCTGCATATAAAACAAAAGCAACTACAAAGAGAACTCCCCAGATAAGTACGTTCTTATATCCATGGATTATAATTATATCTATTGTGCTATCTTTTAATTTCTATAATTTGATAATTTAGTAATTTAATACATAATTTAGGGATATATGAGTTTCTATATTTTTGTACTATTTTCCTTTGTCTTATAATTTTAAATGAATACAATTATTTATACAAAAAATTTTTTTGATTATTTTATTATAAATTTATTATTTGTATAAATTTATTATGAAATTTGCATAGCAGAAATAAAATCACCAACCCAAGAAAGTGAGATGCTTCCACCTCAGCGGATTACAAATGCGAGAAGAAATCAACAACCGATTGAGAAGACTATACCAGTCAAAACCAAAAGATCAATAACGTGAGTATTTTAATTATTTAATCTTTCATATGTGATATATTTAATGCGTTATCATTAATTTAATTAAAGACGAAATTTGTATAGAAAACACAAGCAGAATACTAAAATATCCATTAAACGAAAAAATTTTATTAAGTGTATAATAATGTACTTTTTAAGGCTCCTGAGTAATCGCGACAGCTATATTGAAATTGTGACGTCATAGGCGAGAAATGCACATTAATTTTTGTTTCGTGCCATTTGTAAATAAAGAATTTGGATAGATAATGAAATCACTTAAAAACATTTGTAAAAATGGGTGGAAACTGTTCTTTCCTTCTTTAATAGTCAATAAATGGTCGTAAAGAGCATGCAAAATGAGCCTATACTCGAGCAGAAACACACAGTTTAATAGTTGATGAAACGAGTGAAATATACGCTTTTACGTATAAAATTTCGAGATAATTGTAGTTTCCGCCCATTCTTGGGACTTTCATGAATACGAGGCAAGTTACATTTTCACAAATAAGCAAATAATAACGAAATGGCACGCAACAAAAATTTTGTCGTCAAAGCGTCACTTTTTCACGTCTATTAGTTCAACTTTTACCGTAGCGAGGTAAATACACATACACAAGCACGAGCCCATGCTGTATGTTCGGCCCGAAAATGAACACACGAACATGAGCTCGTATTTGTGTGTGTTACTATCAGGTTTACCAGGCCGCTCACTAATTCAGTGTCGCTACCATCAATACGGAATTCTTGGCTGAGTACTCAGGAGCCTTAATCTAAAACAAAAAGTATATTTTAATTATATACAAAAGAAAGTATATAGCAAAATATAAATCTTTCTGAAATAACATATTAAGCAATTGAATACTTAAATATAATTATGCATAGTATTTAAAATGCATAAAATAATTATCAACTCACTCAAGTAAAACATAATCTCACGATACCGTATTTTATATATTACTTTATTGTGTTTTAGAAAATAAACATTTTAAAATTATTACACAGCTAGAAAAATGAATAATAATGTATTAACTAAATATTTTATATAAAATGCAAAATTTGTGCATAGTCATAGATTTTATTACATATGCAAATATAAATTAAAATACACGTATTTATATAGCATAATCATATGCTATATAATTTTAAAATGTATACAGTATATAATGTGTATGCACAAAAGTTGCTGCTTTGGATGAGAGAGAAGTTTATTGCATCTATAATTTTTATAATCCTTTTGATCCTATTTTATACATCCTTAATGGGAAATCTTTGTGTTTTTCCTAAATTCCTTTCCCCGTCAACGCACATCTTACAGGCCCAAAGTTCAAGAACCATGCAGTATAAGATGTTCGACAAGTATGGGATTAATACCAAGTTTACAATGTCGAGTTTGTCTCTGTTTATACCATCCCGAATGTGTTGATGGCATAGAGCTTGCAAGCAATGATGATTATGTCTGCAAGGTAGGTTTATTATGCAGTTTAAGAAATGTTTATATATATAAATTTCAAAAAATTAAAATTTATTATATATAAAATAAATTTTTTATTTTTTATTAATATCTACGTCAGTTGTTTTGTTTATATATATATATATATGCACGTGCATGTGTGTGCATGTGTGTGAGTGTTACTGAGTTATTTTAGAGATATTCTTTTATCGACTTTTTATTTTTTAAAAACTAAGATACTATAGTTTTTGTAATTAAAGAAATGTCTTTTGAATATAAAATGTATATATATACATATCTAATATATAGAGTTGTTGATTGTATATTCATATTTAAATAATTTTAGTATTAAAATGATTTGAATTATGCTAATATAAGAATAAATCTGTTGTAGAATTGTCAGCCAGATACTAAAGAATCTCAAATGCCAAACAATCCGTCTTTGACACCACCTCCATTGATTCCAATTAGTATGTTAAGTGCACAAAATGCAAAGTCAATAAAACATCAGGCTAATGCATCTCTTCCCAAATTGCAAAGAATTCCAAAGTCCGATAGTATAGAAGTGCAAACAAGAAATTCTACCAAAATACCATCTACATCCTCAAACTCATCTTCAACCACAGACAAAAAGGAAAGTACCTGGTTTCCTCAGACAGAAAATGAATTTTTGCAAAGTCATGATGGTACTATGCCGAAACCGGCTCAAAATATTGCTATAATGGGTGGTAAAAGATATATTGTAGTACCAAAAAATAATGCAATGGCAGTTCAACCAGCTATAACAGTAAAACCAGACAAAATTGGCGATAAGCCACCAATACTTCAAGACGGTTTGCTTACCGATATTACGGAAAATACTACAGATAATTCTGTTTCAAATTTATGTGTACCTCCATCCTTAAATACTGATTTACCTGAAAAAATAAATATTACACCTGATAAAGAAATTTCAAAAGACATAATTCATGAGACAGATCTTGTATCTTCTGATGCCACTGAAATAACTGAAATACATGATAATAAAGATAAGGATAGTAATATTCCTAAAAGAGATGACGCTATTAAAAATATATTAGAAAACGAATCTTTTATCGCCAATATAGATTATATCTTAGAAAGAAAAATAGATACAAATTGTACATCACCTGAAAGTAAATCTGTATGTACACCAGTACATGTTACAAGTATTACAAATGCTCTTGAAGCAAATGCAGAAACGGAAACAATTAAGACAGATCGACAACAGTCCTTATCAAATAAAGTGGGTACAATATCGAAAATAAAAACTAGCAAGTAAGTGTATGTACTCGTTACATAGGCACTTTTGGGTTTTATTTCTTATTTAGAATTTTTTTTTAATAATTTAAGTTTACGGCAACTATCTTTTGAGGTTTTGGCAGTTGCTTTGTGTACGTATTGTATTTACAATGTTTAGTAAAAAAAAAAAATACTTTTTCTTCCAATAATCTATGTTTATCAAATTAAATGTTGTATATTTTTTATTTTTTACGTACTATACAAGCTTGACTGTACATTAGATTTTACATTGTATAACATTTTAGGTTGTACATTAAAGTCTTATTTTATATGGCGATACAAATGGCAATAGATCTTTCATAACCTATTTTATATTATAAATAAAATTATGATATATAAAATTGTAAATGCAATATATATACTGATGCTTATTATATTTGGAAATATAAAAATGCGACACTAAAAATGAATTTGATTTTATCTTATGACCGAAGCACACTGCCTTAGCTTCTTAGAAATGCGGCCAAATTTACACCAAATGTAAGACAAATAAGAGATGCACCCCCGTTGGTTATCACAGTTCTTTATGTAATTGTAGTATCAAGGTAAATTAATTTCTATAAGTTACTCGATGTTAAAATGCACATTTATATATAAATATATGAATGTTTACATTCATGCTGCAATTACAAAGTTACTGATAAGTGCTTCAGTGGAAAAAATCTAATTCATTTTTACTTTTTATATTTGCAGATATAAAGACATGTGTGCGAGCTGAAACAAAAACTCCTAGTGCGTTTTCCTATAAATTCTCACAATCCTTCTCCGTCATTCCATATCCTTTTTATTTCTATATTTATTTCTTTATTTTGAATCTGTTACTTTCTTGATAAGAATATAACATATACATTCGCGATCACAGAAATTATTTTTATTAGAGGCTTTTTATATTGAAAGTTATAGTATGAACAAATAATTTTTAATCATTGTGTTTTAAAAAAGCCTCTTTAAAACAATAACCTTTTATTTTTATTTTATAAATGTTGACAGATAAATATTGTCTTTTTAATGTGCAACATGATATAAGCATTTTCACAAATATAATTGATGTCAAATTTCTAAAATGCATGTTTTTTTTAAATATTTTCAGGAGAAAGCAAAATCAACAGGAATTAGAGCAGCAGAATTACATGAATTTATTTTGCGCTGGTTATGATTCCCTGTTGCGTACTTTTCAATATCTTAAGGTCCAAGAGTTATTGCGAGCCGCACGAGTTTGTAAAATGTGGCGTGATCTCGCTGCACATCCATCTCTGTGGAAGACCGTACGAATGAAAAATAGTCAAGTAACTGACTGGGATGGTTTGGCGGATACGTTACAGAGACGTGGTACGCAGCATCTAGATCTCAGAAAAATGCTAATTGCTTGCGAGTCCGACAACATTTGGAAGAAATTCTTGACTGTTATACCACGAGTGAGCAGTCTTTTGAAGCTTGAATTATGCAGATGTCCCGTTTCAGTTGTGGAAGAAGTTATTAAGACTTGTCCACAATTGGAGGTATTTAGCGCAATGTCGATCAAATGCGAATCTCTTACGTTAGAATCGATTGGAAATTTGAGACGATGTCAAGAACTCAGACTTAAAGCGATATCTGGAATGTCCTTACAACAAGATCTTACTCCTTTACAAGATTTAAAACACTTGACACAGTTGGTAAGAATCTATGTTTTTTTAACATAATTTTTATTACAATTTTTTGTATTTTAATTTTTGTTATACAATATTAGATAATATTAAAAAATATCTTATTTTTCTTTTATGTACAGAGTTTAACATCAGTTAAGGAACTTGGGAAGAAAAAAATTGTTGTTATACAATCATTGACAAATTTGGAGACGTTAGAATTAGGCGAATGCTCTGATTTTCCTGACAAGTTTGGAACTATCGTTTTAATCAATTTAAATAAATTGGAACGTCTTAGACTTGAAAAAGGTCAAGGATCGTGTTGTACATTCGATATTCTTGAAGGCGTATCGAAATTACAGAATTTGAATCAAATGGAATTGGTCAATTTCGATGTGAAGAATGGTTTTGACAAATGTCTGGCTAATTGCAAAAACATCAAAAGGTTATTAATTATATTGACTTATATATCCCAGTCGGCAACATCTAACAACATGGTGCTTGGAGGTGTCACAGAATTGTCAGACAATTTAACGCATTTTATATGGGGTGTTACGCTTGAGTTACTCAGGGTTACGGAACTATTCATTGATCAGTGCAATCTTATGAATAAACAGATTACCGGAGATTCTATACCAGTTTTAAAACCTGTTCCCTGCTTAAGATTAATTTCGGATGTTGAGGATGAAAACGAGAACCAAAAAGAAGGTATATTAACTTAATTATCAGCTAGCTAATTAACATTATCTCCACAAATAATTTATATGATTAAGTTGTAAAATGTTATTTAATAATTTTACAGCCGATGATAAACAACAGCCGCACCAAACGGGTCCTCAGGTCGACATTTTGCCATTGCCACAATTGCAAAAGCTTCTTTTAACTGCATTACCCAAGACACGAGTCAAGATATTGAAAATTCCCTTTCACGCTACTTGGCGACAAAGCATTTCCGATACTACTACGCAATAGAAATGAACGAGATGATACTAGTATGAAATCGAATGAGACAAATAGAATTAAAGTGACATTTGCGACACTTGAACATTTTTTTGTAAAGTTAACTTGTAAAATTGATATATTGTCCATACTTCTATATCAGGCCTGTTCAATTTGAGCTTCGGAGCCAAAGCATAAAGCCATCGATGTAAAAAATTAAATTTAAGTAAGGTTTTAGATTGTAAAGTATTCATAAGCTTATAGGTATCAACACTTAAGTTTCAAAAATTTTGTTCATTGAATTTGTTTGCGTCAATGGATTTGTATTTTGGCTTCGGAGTTTAAATTGGACAGGCCTGTTCTACATCTACTATTTTTTGGATGAAAAATAACGTATATTTATGTACTATGAGTTTTATAATCTTCAGCAATTAATAATCCTTCGCAACGTATTGGTACACACTGCGGTATATTTAGTATTTTTGTGATAAATATATGTGGGACCATGTATCGTGCACCATTTTTGCTCCAGGCAAAATGATACAAGCTGGTACCCTTGTATGGGTTAATTTAATCAAATAAAATTCTGACTTTTATATATCACAATTTTACTTCC